ACAATCCAAATAACACATATTATTCCGGTCAGACGATCCATGGCACGATTTATTTGAACTACTCCGAAATTCGTGGTAAGTAATAATTTGTGGTTTTGCTGGCATGGCAATAATTCAAGCGGTGTCATGTTGAAGTGTGTTATGCGAAAGCAGGTAACAAAGAAAAACGGTGCGTTTGGGAGTGTCGTACATCAAAAATCAAAGTCGCAAAACAAAACATGAGATTAGCAAAATGAAAGAAAACAAAAATAGATATACCGTGCCTTTGTTCTCGGTCGTGTTATCATTAAGGAATTCAAGTACATACTTTTGCCTAGAAAATGCAATGAATTTTTGCCAGACAGTAATAAATTTGGTTTTTTTCTGTGTTCACTCATAGGAATTCATTTTCGTGTCATTGGAAAGGCCAAGTGTGCATGGACCGAATGGTTTGTGCGAGAATCAAAACCAGCTGACGGCAAAAGTGAAACATCAGACTCCAGATATTATGGCAAAGAAGAACATTTGAATCCGGCTGTGTATGTTGTCGGTGCGAAAAACGGTAATAATAAACATTTAACTGTATGTGAGAAAAAAAACCATAAATTGATTTCCATGGAATCAGTGACGCATTCGATTTGCGTGATACAGTGAGTGTGTACACGTTTGATCACGAAACTGTCTACTATTGAATATAGGAAGCAAAGTCGAAACTATAAAAAGTTGATTGAGAAAGTGAGTCATATCGCTTGCGGTTTGGTTTGTTGATACATGTTGATTCATGACATCAGACCTTGGCGACTTCTTTCTCGTACCAATGAACTTAACTTATCTCAGCCTTTGTTTGTTTCATTTTTTTGTTTCTACAATCTAAATATAAATAAAACGAGTTTTGCTGTTAAATTCGAAATTTGTTCCAGGTCCAAATTCCCACGCATGCTTTTGGCACGGATTATAGAAAAAAAGCGACGGAATGATGAGCTCTCGACTGAACTCACCAAATGGAAGAAAATCGCTCTCAAAATGAATCAGCAGTATCGTTTGCAAAGGGCAACTACCAGCACGGAAACAGTTGATATTTCATAAATATGTAAGCAATTCATCATAGGTATAGGTTATTGACTCAATTTTTTTTTCGTCCGTATTTTCAATGCTCTGACAATGTATTGTTCTCGATTTTAAAAGTGAATAAAATGAATTCAGACTGTATGAAAAAAAATTCGATCATTTTTCAATTTAGTAATAGCTATTTGGTTTTATTTTTGGGGTTTTCTGTCATTCCACAGTCATACAAAAGCTCATTATTTCAAAATTTCTTGATATTTATTTCTATTCCTTAGTACAAATCGGTTGAAAAGATGAAATGACACAGTGGTCAATCTAAAGAAAACAATGCAATGTAATTGACTTGTACTTTTTTACGCGAATTTAGCCATTCTCATCAAACGGTGCAACAGTTACCAGTGTCATTTGGTTTTACAGCCGGTAGAATGTGATGATCATGGAATGATGATGAATGGAATGGACGATTATTTATTCGGCTTCTGACTGTGATGTTGAATACGATGAACGTTCCAAACTGCACTATTCTTCAACACCAACTGAGCTGTTTGATGCCGAATTAGACTTGTTATCTGGACTACTGCTGGTTATATCAATAACTTCGGTGTTCAATGCTTTATCAGACTGGCTTTCTGGGCTAGAGCCAACAGCAATTACTTCGATGTTCGATGCCGAAACAGGTGAGCTTGATTCTTCTCTGTTTGATCCATCTGATGGTTCGTTTTGCGGTGTATAAACCGACGATGGAGCTGATGGAAATTCATTCGTATCCCCCCAAAAATCTGATGATTGTCCCGGACTTGATGACTTGTTGGTCGAATTTGTAGCGTTTGAGGGACCTGCTGTTTCATTCTAGGAAAGTCGAGTATTATTTGCAAGATGAATTAGATGAAAAGTTTGGACGACACAACTCAGATTAGGTTCCAATAATTCCCAGCAAATCCAGCTGAACGAAATGTTTATTCATGTTAATTAAGTTTTTTTCCCAAATCTGACTAAATTCCTATTAATATATACAAGATTATCAATTACCCGTCGAGCTAGCGCTTCAGGCGATTTCGAATATTTTTTCCAATGGATGTGAAAACGTTTCATGGTGGTATAACATTCATTGCAAACGATGGATCCACATTTATCACCTTTTTCGGGAGAACTTTCCATGAGAGCGCTACGAATATATAGATCTTGAATGAAGTTCATCAGTCGCAAATCGCTTCGATACATATCGGCAAAGTCTGTGAAGTCGTTAGTAATTACGGAGCAAAAATTACATATGGTCTTCAAAGAATGTAATTTCAATGCCGATTTGGCTTTAAGATAATGCTTGAGGTATTCTTCGGAAGGCTTCATGCAATCAAAACATAGCGTATCATTGGGTTGAATCTGAAGCGAAATTAACACAAGAATAAAACATCAAAATGGTTTTTCCAAAATATTCGTTTTAACTTACATTGTATGCTTTCTCATAAAACGTTTGGACTTCCTTTCCATGGTTTGATAAAGACCCGAAAACAGAACCATCACTGGAACAAAGACAGCATTTAACTTGATTCATTTTGGAAAAAAATATCGAAGAAAAAGTGCTTAAACGAAAAAGTTTTGCGTGTCAAACAATTCGAAATGTCAAATCAACAGAGGTAGCGTTCGTTTCACCTGTTTGACATTTCGCTCTGTTTATATGACAAAAATGTGGTTATGTCATTTATTCAGTCTACTCGAATTGAGTCTTTAGAAACATATTTGAACAAAAAATACAAATTGTTTGAATTTCTAAATGTATTTCCTATTGATCGCTTTCAAAATGAATCAACATTATTGTTTGTAAAGGGTAAACACCAGCACGGAAACAATTTATATTCCATAAATATGTAAGCAATTCATCGTAGGTACACTCAATTTTTTCGCTCGTATTTTCAATGCCCCTGCTCGATTAATAGTTAACTCACCCTGCATGAAAAAAATATGTTTCTACTCATTTTTCAATATTAACTTTTATTTTTTGGGGTTTTCTGTCGTTTTAAACGATCTTCAATTGTTGAAAAGGCCATTCCACTTGGTTTGTCTTGCAATTCAGTGACGCAATATTGCCTGATACATTTTAAATACTTGGTTTTTCCCTGATAAATTATGGACAACGTGATTGGAGCACCAATTCTAGTCATCTCATCGATTCGTTGTTTGATTTCGTCCACATTCCTGGCAAATATATAGGGAAAATGTACTAGATCCGCCGCCGTGAATTGCGTCTCACTCAATAAATAGTCTAGTAGGCTCTTTATCTAAAATGGGAATGACGTTTTGAATGAAGCTTTGGGAACAAACTTTCGTTGTTTTCATTTTCAAACTTTCAAATTGAACCGCACCTTGGAGGCCGAACATTTTGCCAGTTTCGGATATTTTCGCAAAGCTATCGC